TGCTGTGGAGTGAGTGCTGCTGGGGTCTGCAGTGAATTCTGGGCCTGCTGTCCTGGGGGGTCTCCTGCTGTGGAGTGAGTGCTGCTGGGGTCTGCAGTGAATTCTGGGCCTGCTGTCCTGGGGGGTCTCCTGCTGTGGAGTGAGTGCTGCTGGGGTCTGCAGTGAATTCTGGGCCTGCTGTCCTGGGGGGTCTCCTGCTGTGGAGTGAGTGCTGCTGGGGTCTGCAGTGAATTCTGGGCCTGCTGTCCTGGGGGGGGGGGGGTCTCCTGCTGTGGAGTGAGTGATGCTGGGGTCTGCAGTGGATTCTGGGCACCTGATGAGGGAGGGGTTCTGCCCAGTCCCCGGGTCTGGGGAGGCAGCCGTTTGAGGATGCGCCAGCCAGTAGCAAACTCCGCTTGTGCCAGGGGAGGCTTGGGGCCCAGCAGGCAGAGCCCCCGGTCGGCTGAGGAGGAGGGATCCTGGACTTCCGGACAGTCTTAAAGCACCAATGGGGTCTAGTCCCCAGCTGGGGTGGAGAGTGCTCCTGACCCTGCCTGCATGAGACCCCAGTTGGGCATCTCAACCCAGGTCCACACCCCTTTTCCTGACTGCAAGAGGCTCTTGAGGATCAGAACCAACTCAGGGGGCTGAGGCAGGAGGATGGCCCCTTAGGGTGTCGCTGAGGGGCAGGGCACCTGGGTTCAACCCCAGGAGGCCAGGCTTGGCCTCCATCCCCCCGGGGACTCGCTCACCTCTGCTGGGACCTCCTTTCCTTTTGTGCCCTTTGATTTTTCACTTCCTTATTAACTGATCAAAGCACCTCCCTCCCCAGAGGGAGGCCCCGGCACCAGCTTGGGCTGGGTCCTCTGGTCTTCTCCTGGACACGCACCCTCTGGACCCGTACCTCTGACCACAGGGCTGTTTGGGCAGCGCTTCTCCCAGCGGGAACGTGTGTCCCCGTCGTAGCTGATGGACACGTAGGTTGTCTTCTGCTCTGACAGTGTGGCCCTGGCACCCCTCCCACCCCTTCCTGGTGTGTGCCTGTGGGGAACAGCTTGCCCCGCACACCCACCCCCTGGGGTGCCAAGCTACTGAGCTGCATTATTTAGAGACAGGGTTGCACTGAGTTACTAGGGCCTCGCTAAGTTGCTGAGACTGGCTTTGAACTCAAGATCCTCCTGCCTCGGCCTCCTGAGCTGCTGGGATCACGGGCGTGCACCACTGCGCTCAGCTAGGGGCCGGGTTTTTATCAGTGCCTCCCTAGCACCGAGCACAGTGCCCGGCACAGGTCTGGAGCTCAGTAAAAATACATTCACTGAAGCCAGGCGCAGTGGCGCACACCTGTGATCCCTGTGGCTAGGGAAACTGAGACAGGAGACTCGCAAGTTCAAAGCCAGCCTCAGCAACATGGAGATTCTAAGCAACTCAGTGAGACCCTGTCTCTAAGTAAAACACAAGATAGGGCAGGGGGGTGGCTCAGTGGTCGAGTGCCCCGGGGTTCAATCCCTGGCACAGAAAAGCAAAAACAAAAACAAACAAAACCCTTTGTTCAGGCCCTTTTGTTCTTCACAAAGCACCTAAGGCTCAGAGAGGTCAAGGGTGGCCTAGGTCACCCAGCAAGGGAATGTGGAGCTGAGGATGGAATCTGAGTCTGAGCGGCTGCAGGCTGAGCTGCTTTTCCTCCTGCATGAGACCCCAATGGCATCTCAACCCCGGTCCACTCTCCCTTTTCCTGACTGTTGCCCCCTGCTCCACCCAACCCAGGGCGCAGGGTCCCCTGCGTGACCGCTCGGCAGGCCAGGCTGCACGGCACCATTTCCCAACCTCACTTCACCCCGTGCCTCCCCTCATCGAGGCCGTTGGCCTGAGAGTCAGGTAGGGCACTTTGAGAACCCCGGCGCCTCCCGGGCCAAGCAGGAATGTGGTTCGACTCTCCTGCTGCTGGGGTCTGTGAGCGCGTCCGGGGGAGGGGTTCTGACGTAGGTAGGGGGCGTGCGCCTGCAGTTGGGGTCCCCTGTGCCCGCGGGGCTGGGTGGGTTTGGATAGCCACTTGACAGGGTCTGCACGTTGGCGCCTCCTGTGTGCGTGTGGTTTCAGGTAAGGGGGGGAGAGGGATGGAACCTTGACCACACACATGACCCCGCTGGCTTCCCTGTGCAGTGCCTTCAGTGACCACACCTACAAGGACACGGCTCAGGGGGTGAGGACACCCCTTGGCAGGTTTACGCTCCTGAGGTCCCTGCATGACCTCTTCCCTGCTTCGTGCGTCCATCTGGGGCCCTGCAGCATACGCGGCCCCTTGGTCAGTGAATCAAGTGCTGGCTCGGAGGTGCTTGTCCAGGGGGCGACCTTTAGCTGGTGTCACAGAGAAGTCACCACAGTAACGGTTCCTGCAGGGTTGGCGGGTCCTAGCGGTCCCCACCGCAGCGGTCCTCCCCTGGCTGCGGCTGGCCCATCTCCTCTCCCGTGTGGTCCCTCCAGTGTCCCCCTGCAGCCTGCCTGCGCATCCTCTGCCCCACCGCCTACTGCCCTGGTCTGTCGTTGGCCACCTCGCCAGCCGTTGCCAAGCTGACCAGCCCAGCGACTCACCTTCCAGCGCCCAGCCAGCACCTAACTCTACGTCCAGCAGCTGTGCCCACCCGACTCCTAGCCCAGGGGTCTAACCAGCGCGTCAGCTCAGCTAGTGCACCCGTCCGTCCACTCACATGCACACACGGTCCTGTCCTTCAGCCTGTCCCTTGATGACCCCCCCATCTCCCAGCCGGCTTCTCGTGGTTTATCCGCGCCCTCGTCCCCCCAGCCTTGCGCCGGCTCACGCTCCTGCCTGGCTGATCTCTGTGCACCATCCTGAGCACCCTGCGGTGTCTTCAGAGGACCAGTCCACCCGTGCGTCCTGCGCTCGGCAGCCGGCCCCGTGGCTTCTCTCCTGTCCCCCTTGCTATGGCTCCTGTGCCCTGGCTGGGAGGCCGCCGTCCCCACCTCACCCCTGGAGGTCCAGTGGGGCTGCCCCGTCACCTCTGGGCCCCGGGCCTCCCCCTGAGCTCCGCCTCTGTCCCCCACTGGGGGCCCCTGCAGACCCCCTTGCTCAGGCTCACCTTCCCTTTCAAGCCCTTTCTCTCCCTGGGGCAGCGTCCACAGTGAGGGCCACCTGGGGGCTGGGGCAGCGCACAGTGTTTGTGGTGCCCCGTGGCGGCGGGGGCTGGGCCTCTGGCGGCCAGGTGGGCTGCAGTGGCAGGCTGGGCTCTGGGCACAGCTCTGGCAGGGTGGCTGCAGTGGCACTGGCCACAGGTGTGGCTTGGGGGCTGGCACGGGGTGGGCTGTGCCTCTGGGTGTCCCTGGGGGCCACACTTGCAGGACAGAGGCCTCCTCCTCCTCCTCTGCCAGCAGGCCCTGCTGTCAGAGTCCCCGCAGCCCACAGCTGGGCTGATGATGGTGGCCACAGAGGGTCAGAGGTGAGGCCCCCCAGGATACAGCCCCTGCCCTGCGCCTCGCCCCCACGTGGGGCAGCTCTGGGCCCTCGGTTGTTCCCTCTGTCCTTAAGAGTGACCCTGGGGGACACTGAGCAGCATCTGCACCCGGCCGTGCTCCTCGGTCCTCTGCAGCTCTGGACGCTCAGTTTCCCGTCCTTGCAGACTGGGGGTGACGACTGCCACACGTCACAGGGACACGGGAAGAATTAACGGAGGGAGCTGAGGTCCGGCAGTTGGCTCAGAGCCAGGCGTGGTGGCAGGGCCCGCGAGCACGGAGCAGCGCCACCAGGCCCTTTCCTCACCCTGCGGGGCGGCTGGTGCCAGGAGGGCAGCTCTGGCCCAGGGGTGGGTAGCGGGGGTGGCCAGCCTGGTGACGAGTGGGTGGTGGACAGTGGAAGTCACTTGGTGGCCTGGCGGATGGTCTGGGGCTGCCCGGCCAGCCCCCTCCCCGTCAGAGCTGAGACCTGGAGTTGAGACCCCTGGGCCGGTGGCTTAGAGGAGTCAGGGGGCACAGCTGCTGGACGTACACTTAGGTGTTGGCTGGACGCTGGAGGGTGACACTCGGGCCCCAGCGGGCACTAGGCCCCTTGGGGAGGTCATCATGGTGCTGGGGACGTGACAGAGGGGCTTTTTCTGGTGTCCGCCTCCTGACGGCCCTGCGGCAGGGTGGCCTCAGGCTGCCCTCGCTCACACACTCCAGGGCCCAGCGTGACCGGCCCAGGTCTCGGGCAGCCCTCCCCAGCAGGGCCTGGCCCAGGTGCACCTGGCACCTCGGCTGCCCACACCCAACTCGGTCCCCTCCATAGAGCAGCTGCCCTCGGAGCTGTTAGCAGGTGGACTTCTTAGTGTCCAGTGGCTTTTCAAGAACCGCCGTGTCCACGGACCCTTCCTGCCCTCGGGGCCTGGACCTCCCTGTCCAGGCCACGTTGCCCTCGAGCAGCACAGGGACCCTTCGTAGTGGGCTGAATGGGGGCCCCCAGAATCTCTGTCCCCATCCAGCCCCCGGAACCTGACAATGGGACTCAGTTGGAAAAGGGTCTCTCTAGGGGAGAGCAGGCGGACTGTCGGGGGCTCCTCTCGGGGGTGCTGGCCGCCCTGGGAAGGCCTCCTGGGTCTCGGCCCCCCCACGGCCCCCGGCTCCTCGCTGCCGACTCCCGCCCCCGTGGAGAGGGCCAGCACTGTCAGGGACGCCCCTCCTTCCAGGGCCCCTCCACCCTTCCCCGTAGCTCCGCAGACCTCGGGCCGTGAGCCACCCCTGCCCCCCGAGCTGCCCCTCAGGATGGAACCTGCATTTCATTGTCAGGGCCCCTGGTGACTGGCGCCTGGTGACTCCCCGGGGCCTGTGGCGGGGGACTGCCGGCCTCTGCCGTCTGCAGGTCATAGGTGGCCTTGCCTGCCCCCAAGGTGGCCCCAGAGACCCCAGGCCTTCCCTGGAAGCGCCGTCTCCCCAGCCCGTCCCCTGACCAGGGCCCTCGAGGCCAGGTGGCTGATGCTCAGGGACGGCAGAGCCGATGGCAGTTGGCACTTCTGGATGGGGGGGGGGGCAGGGGCAGGGGGCAGCAGACCTCAGGCTTGGCCCCGAGCTCCCTGTGCCTGGCAGCCCCTCTCCGGGGGGTTAGGCAGGAGTGAGGCTCCGCCGGGGCACAGACGGTCCCCTCAGCGGGGCGGAGGGGAGCCAGACACTCCCGTGAGGCAGAGGGGGCCCCCAGGGGCCCGGTGGCAATATCTGCCTCAGTTAAACGCGAGTCCACGACAGGCCCAGGCCCCCCTGTGTGGCTCGTGCTCTTAGCCTCACCCGAAGCAGACAGGGGCAGGCTGGGGCTCAGAGACACACAGTGACCTGTGCCGGGTCACACAGCAGAAAAGAAACTGGAACCCACATGCTGGGCTCCCAAGCCAGGGCTCCTTAAGACGACGCTGTCCAGGCTCAGAATGGCCAACGGGGTCCCACCGAGGGAGACGTTGATCCCCTGGGGCTGACGCCCAAGTATGTGGAAGAGGCCCCCTGCCCCAGAGATGGAAGCTGAGACGGCTTCCTAGCCCAGGCGCCCACTTTCCACCCACTGGGCAGGAGCTGGCCTCCCTCGTGGCCAGAGCAGAGCCCTGGGGGGAAGCAGGGGGACACCCGAGAAGGGAGTTCCTCGGAGACATTTTATTGACTCTTCTCTGGAGGTTCTCGCTGGGCCGGCGGCGGGCACCCCTCCTGGACATCTGGCGGTGAGGAGTGCGGCGGCGGACACCTTCCTGGGCCTCTGGCGTTACACGTGCGTCTGCTTGGCCTTGGGGCTCTGCGGGGCCCCCGGGTTGTCCTCGGCGCTCCCCTCCTGCCTCTCGGGCTCCATCAGCAACAGCTTGCCCTGCCCGGGTAGCTGCTCCTGCTCCTCCTCCTGCTCCTCCTCCTGCTCCTCCTCCTGCTCCTGCTCCTCCTCCTCCTCCTCCTCCTCCTCCTCCTCCTCCTCCTGCTCCTCCTCCTGCTCCTCCTCCTCACCCTCTGATGACAGGGAGAAGTTATCCTGACTCATGCAGGCCACAAGCTTCTTCATGGTCGACTCGTGGCCCCGGCTGTGGCCCGTGCCCTGGCCGGTGCCATGGCCCGTGCTGAGCTTGGCGCATCGGGAACCCATTGTCCACTCTGCCCGTCTCTCTGGACTAGGGAGGGAGGTGGCCGGGGGCGTGGAGGGGCTGTGAGGTGGATGGAGTGCTGACATCACAAAGGGGCCCTGGAGCCCACCCCACCCAGCACCCAAGGCAGAGCGGGCAGCTGGGCCGGGGGAGGTCTGTCCAGTGCTGCCCGCCCTGGGGGCTGCCCGCCCCATCTGGCCTCATTGGCCTGGACACTTGCCCTCTTAGCTGAGCGCCGGGGGTGCCCGAGAGCCGGGGATAGTGTGCAGACAGGGTCAGGAGAGAGGCTGCCCCTCGGGGCTGGCAGTGGGTGGGCTTCCTGACCTGCTAACGTGGCATGACTCACTGTGTACCTCAAGTCCACCCCCACACTGCACCCCTTACAGGGCCGGGCTGTGGCTCCGTGGCAGGGCGCGTCGGCAGGGTCCGGGGCGCGGTTCCCAGCACACACAAAACCCCTCCTGACTGTTAAAGTGTGTCCTCCAACATCCCGAAAGGCAGCGCCCAAACTTTGTGGGGTCCCAGGTCTCGGTGGACACAGGAGAACTGGCCGCTGGCAGTGCCACTCATGCCCAGGCCCCAGTATCTCACGCAGGGTGGGGTGGGAGGAGCCAGGACCGCTGTGGAGGGGTCTTGCTAGGTCTGGTGCCACACACCTGTGATGCCAGCTGTGAGGGAGGCTGAGGCAGGAGGACCTCTAGGTCAAGGCCAGCCTGGGCTACTGGCCTTGTAGGAAGAGGCCCTGGATTTCATCCCCAGCACCGACTTGTCATAATGACCCTCTGAGATGTCCACCTCAATCAGAGCCAGTGACAGCTGTGTCACTTATCTAGGTGGGCTAGTGTCCCTGTCAGAAGGTGGCAGATTTCAGACACGTGGAGTGACGGGCAGATGGGTCCCCCAGAACCGCAGCCCTGGCCCAGCCCTGCTGCGGCTCTACCTCGTCCTTGCTGGAGCACACCCGACCTGCCTCCCACCTCGGGCTCTTGCAGCCCTCTGCTGCTCACGTCACCCGGCCACCCCGTGTCTGGACCGTGCTACACAGTGGCCCTTTAGTCAGGTTGACTTCCTGGCTTCAAAGACCCCTCGGGGAGGGCGGTGCCCCAGGGCATCACCCAGACCCCCTGGGCCCTCCTGGAGGAAGGGCCGTGACCAGCCCGCCGGGCGGGCTTCCCTGATCCGCAAAGGAGAGCGGCAGCCGGGGTTTGCATCAGTCTTTATTCGGCAGGTGACTGCTCGTGGGCTCCTGGGCAGCTCGGGGCTCGGGCAGGCGGCACAGGAGGGGTGTCAGGGCCTCGCGTTCCTTGGGCAGGTGACTCGGCTTCCAGGAAGGCCACTACTGCCTCCGGCACCTCCTCTTCCTCCTGATCCTTCTGCAGACTTTGGGGAAGAAAAGGCATTCCTGGACCCCAGTGGGCTCTTCCCTCCCGGCCTCCCGCCCCGCGCGGCGTCCTGGCGCCCGTGGGTGCCCGTGGGTGCCGGCCTGGGTCAGCGGGGTGGGCACGCACCTCGGTAGCAGCGGCAGCACCGCCGCCTGTATCTGCACCGGCAGCGCCTGCGGTGCCTCTGGCAGGACTGGAGGCACCTGTGGATCCGGGGCAGCCTCCCCCGGGAGCCGGGCCTGCGCCTGTACTGGCAGCTCCTCGGTGTCCTCCCGAAGACCTCGGCGGCCTCCTGGGTCAGCCCCTGCTCCCCGTCCTGCTCCTGGTCCTGGTGCTCACATCCCGGGTCCTGCCTGGGCCCCTGCTGCCGACGCTCACTGGGGTTCCTCACGCGGCATCGGACCATGGCGTCTGCGGCTCAGGGGCAGACCGGGGCAACTGGGCTGAGGCTGCGGCTGGCTGTGGCTGGAGGAGGGCTCAGGCCCGCCTGCTCTTGGTGTTGCTGTTGGTCTGCTCAGAGGGGCTCTCGGGGCCTGTATATAAAGGGGGCCCCACTATGACCTGGCGGCCCTGCCCAGCCCCCTCTGTGAGGGCGCCTCAGGGCAGGGCCCACGGCCCGGCACACCGGGTGGGATCGGGCCAGGTGGCCTCTTGCCTGGCCTGTAACATGTGTCCCCTGGAGCCAGAGGACCCTCAGGTCCCGAGAGAGCCACGCCTTTTCTGTCCCCGTCAAGCCTCAACCTGTCAGGGTTCGTCCAGAGGCTGCCCACTCCTCAGTGTCCTGCTGTGATCTCAGGCTTGAGGTGGCCACTGTTTGCATGACATGACTGCATAATGGCCGCATGCCCGGAGGTGACCGCTACTCCCCAGCCTCCCTCCCTTGATCTCCATGAGACCCGCCCCCACTGTTTCCTTTTCCCTCTCCAACCTGCACATGGTGACCCTGGACCTGCCACCCGGTGACCCTGGACCTGAGTTTGCCTCATGGACCTGGTGCTCTCACGCTCCATCCATTCACCGGCAGGGGACACGGCTTCGACATTCTTTGTGGCTGAATAAAACTCCACTGTGTACCCAGACCATCTTTGTCCACTGATGGACACCCGGGCTGGTGCCACACTTGGCTGTCGTGAATTCTGCTGCTGTGAACGTGGAAATGCGAGTGTCACTGCCGAATGCTGGCGTCGACTCTTCGGCGTCGATACGGAGGACGGGCTCAGCTGGGTTTCCGAGGGCCCTCCGTACTGATTTCCGTAGCAGACGTACTGATTTACACTCCCACCAGCCGTGCACACGTTCACACAGTTATTTGTATTTCTTTTGAAAAGCGTTTCATTTGCCCGTTTACTAATTGGGTGGGTCACTTGCGATCACAGGAGCACCTACAGACGTCCTCGCCCTCCTCGGGCGCGCTTTCTAACTTGCTGCAGTCCCATTTGTTGCTCTAAGGACCCCGCTGACCAAGTCACTGGCCGCGTCTGAAGCTGGAGTGATGGCCACGTGTTCTCCTAGGAGTCAGGGAGGTCTGTGGTGCAGGTGGAGTCGGCTCCTGTGCGGGGCGGGAGACGGAGGGTCCGGTCTCCTCCTTCTCCGTGGCGATACCCAGTTTTACGTGGTCCTGTGGAGGCCCAGGGTGCGGCTTGCTCAGCACTAACCAGCTCTACTTCAGTGTCCAGCAGCAAACTAAAACCCCTAGCCCTGTCTGTATGAATGCGGCCCCTCGCGGCCTTTGGGTACCTGACGGGTTTGTGTCACGTGGGTCTCGTGTGATCCCAGCGACGTTAATGGAATCCTAGCAGCTGAGCAGCTCTTTGCCGCTCGTGGAGGGCGGGCGGGGGGTGGGCAGGAGGATGGGGCGGGCAGCACCAAGCCCTCCCCACAGACCCCAGTCCCGGGCCCCGACTGAGCGTGCCGTCTCACATGGCAAAAGGGACTTTGCACACGTGGTGATAGCCAGGATCTCGGGCTGGGGACGTTCTCCTGGATCACCTGGGTGGGCCCAGTGCCATCTCAGAGGGGCCTCGGGGAGGCAGGGAGGGCAGGGAGGGTCGCAGAGCACGGCCACGGCTGAGGGAGGCCGTGAGCCAGGAGCGCAGGTGGCCGCTGGCCCCTGGGAAAGGCAAGGAGAGGGCTCTTCCCCACACCTCCTGCCGGCTCCATGCCGTGAGCCCCGAAGACCTGTCGTAAAGACCCGTTTTGGACTTTCTACTCATGTAGCTGCCAGGGCTGGACTGGACTCGACTGAGCTACGTCCTCAGGCCGTCAGTCTCTTTTGTGACAGGGTCCTGCTAGGCCGCCCAGGCTGCTTTGACCTCGCCGTCCTCCTGCCTCAGCCTCCCAAGTAGCTGGGACCAGAGCGACTGGGCCGGCTGGTTTCCCCTCAGACCTGCAGGACTAAGATAATGGGCCTGTCCTCTTCTACGCCGTGGACTTTGTGGTCATCTGTCAGCAGCAGTGACGAGAGGGACGGAGGGCTCCACGGGGCAGCCCTGGCCAGGGGCAGGGCCGTCCCCTCAGCCTCCCCTGGGGCCCTGGTAAAACCACGAGTGACCAGAGCTTACCCCAGGTGCCGCTCGCTGGCCATCTCCAGAGTTAGAGCTTGAGGATCAAAATGGAAGTCAACCTGCCACCCTCCGGGGACATGGCCGGGTTACCAGAGCAGCCCCGCGCGTCTTCAGGAGCAGCCTGGCTGCCGCTGCCGCGCGGGGTCAGTCGAGCACCAGGAGCTGGGCACTGGGCACACAGAGGGCTCACCTGCCGGGAGCCAGGCAGGCCCGTCAGGGGACTGGCCTTGAGTTCTGGTGGCCGATGAGGTGCCCTGGGCTTTGCACTGGTGCCACGGGAGGACGACCCTGGGCGCGTCGAGGGGTCGCAGGGCTGGGCTTTCCCGGCCTGTGACGGAGCCTGTCGGACCAAGCCCCAGTCCGGTCGCTCTTGGGTCAGGTTTCCAGCCTGCGGCCATCTCCACGTCTCACTCGCTGTGGGAACTCGGGGGTAGGCAGTGTCCCGAGGGAGTGTGGCCCAGGCAGCGCGGTGGGCAAGTGCCCTGTCCTTGGCCGTGACGGTGTACCCGTGTGGCGCCATTGAGGACCAGATGGAGTCCAGCCATCCTTATGCTCACCTGGAGGGCTTCTGACAGGTGACCGACTTGTGACTCACCTCTGGGCTGAAATGGACCCAGGTGGCACTTTGTGAGGTCACGGGCTTCTCTTGTGGGTGGTGCTGGTCCCCAAGCCCAGGGCCTGGCGTGCGCTGGGCCAGCGCTGTGACAGGGCCCTCCCCCCACCGTCCCCCACACAGGGGTCACATCTTGAGCTCAAGCTGTCACTTGGACTGGCTCTGGGGCCCCGAGACACCCTCAGGGGTGGCCGAACCCCGTGGTACACCTCCCGCTGGGGCCGTTGCATGGCCCCGCCCGCGCTGGGAGTCCGGGGGGGCCCTCAGGGGCTCCATGACCTGGCCGCGGAGCTCCGCCGAGGTGGCCGTCGAGGTGGTCCGGGAGGCGGATGGCACAGGGAGACGCCCTCCCGCCCCCACCCCCGCCAGCTCCCGAGGCCCCTCAAGGACGACGAGACGTTGGGTGGGATGATCTCTCAACATTTATTGACAGGTGGCATTGTCCCTCAGCAGGCTGCTGTTTTCACTGAACGGTGGCATTTCCAAGATGTGGCAGGAGGGTCTCGACGTTTGGTGAGATCCCTGGGCAGGAGGGGCATGGTCTGGCTACGCTGCACGTCTCAGTGCCTTCTGCACCTCAGGGTGTACGTGCGGCGGCAGCACCCTAGGGGGACAGAGAGGCGTCAGGGGGGGCAGAGAGGCGTCAGGGGAGGCCCGGCCCCGGCCCCCCCCCCGGGCTGCACCCTTACTTAAGGCCCTCCGCCTCCGGCAGCAACGCCTCCTCCGTCTGCGACATCTTCGTCTCCGGCGGCGGCATCTGCTCTGGCATGGGGCGCGGCAGCAGACGTATCGTGCCATGGCCTGGGTGGACGGGCTACGCGGGCTCAGAGCAGGGGCACCACCGCGGTTGAGGCAGCCTGTGAGCAGGTGGAACTGCGTGGGCTGAGGGCCCGGCCCGCTCCTCTTATAGACCCAGGGCCCCCCTGGGCATTGTGAGGTCAGAGGGGCCGCCACCTCACAGACCAGGGCTCCCGCCTCGCGTCCATCTATGGGCAAGGGCGGGGAGGGCAGCCCCCCAGGGCCTGCGTGTCACAGCCACAGGGACCCAGGGTGACCTCTGCATAAGGGCAGCCTCCGCTCCTCACCCATTGGCCATCCCCACTGGGTCCCCGCTGGGGCTGGATTCTGGGAAGGGCCCTGGGGTCAGGGCTGGAGCAGACGGCTGTCCTCCTGGCCCCTGGTTGGGCAGGAGTGAGATGGGCGCAGGACGGGCACCCTGGGGGCCTGGGGGCCAGCGCTAGGGGACCCCGTGGGGGGGGTGAGCTGCTCCTGCGCGGCAGGCTCGGGGTGTCCGGGCGGGACCGCTGCTTTGTGGGCGCAGGGTCTTCTCAGCTGATAGAGGTGTCGGGAGCCACAGTGGTGGGCGCAGCCCGGGAGCCCCGAGGCCACGGGGCTGTGGGCTGTGACACGCGGAGTTCCTCGTGGGGACTTCACCTCCACCGAGAAAGTAAAGGCCCAGGGGCCAAAGGCTGTGGGCGGGGTCGGGGTGTGGGCGGGGGACCTGCCCCTCGGGCTTCGTCAGACACGTCCCCTGTCCCCAGCCATCAGGGTGCAAGTGCAGCCACTGAGAGTTGGGGCCACCAGAGGGGGGCACAGTGTGTGGGGGGTGACAGACCACAGGTGTCCTCATGTAGTCCTGAAGGTGTCCTGGGAGGAGGGAGCAGGGACGGGCCAGCGGGCAGCTGCCAGCCACCCAGTTTCCGGCGGCCCCCCCTGTAGCCCCGCGGCTGCCCGCGGGCCTTTGTCTAACTGAGCTGCTCAGTCCCCTGCCCTGTTAAGTGGGAGGGCACCTCAGGGCCGCCTCGGCCTGCTGGAACCCAGCCTCCCGCTGCCCGCTGTCCGGCAGGACGGAGGGGGAGGAGGAGGGGTCCTTTCGAGGCCACTCTGACTGTGGGGCTGAGGAAGGACAGGGGGACACCAGGTGGGCAGCCAGTGCGCCTGGCCCTCGCCTGCAGCCGGGGAGCCCACTAGGTTCCGAGGGGGCTGTGCTGACCCACGGAGGTCAGCATCCATGTTCCCTCACCGACTGGGTCCAGTGGCGTCCTTGTCCCCGGTCCTCGCACACCGGAGACTCTTCCTCGTTTTCTGAATGAGCTGGGGATGGAACCAGGGCCTCCAAAGGGCCCGGTGGCTGTCGCCCCTGAGCCGCACCCCAGCCCCGCGGTGCCGTCCAAGGGTGACCCACAGGGTCTCAGAGAAGCCCCCGGGCTATGGCGGTTCCCCCCGCCC